GTTGATGATGCAAATCCTGCACTACCCATACTAAGGAATATACCAGAATTCCCATATTCTAGGGTCCTTTAGGTAATGCAGGATGCTTATCATCCCTAAACCCCAAACCCTAAACCCTAAACCCTAAACCCTAAACCCCAAACCCTAAACCCTAAACTATGGTTTAGGGGATATAGGGCTTCGGGCCCGGGCCGGTTTTAGGGCTCAGACGTTGGGTTTAGGGTTTAGGGTTTAGGGTTTAGGGTTTAGGGTTTAGGGGCCTAAGCCCTAGACCCTAAACCCTAAAACCCTGAAGTCCTAAATCCTAAAAAGACCCTAAAACCTTAAATCTAATAAAACACTAAAATCCTAAATCAAAAACCCGAAACCCTGAACCCTAAAGTCCTAAATCCTAAACCCTAACCCAAAAACCGCAAGACCTAAGAGCCTGAAACTCAAACCTAAGGTCAGGGCCTTGCAGGCTAACTCAAACACCCACTGGCGGAGTAATGTAGGGGCCTAACTAATTACCGGGGGCCCCTTACTACTATTGAATAATTACTATTATTCTGATAGTATAATGGGCCCCAAAACCCTATTCTAATCATTAAGGCCCCTATCTCATAGAACCCTTGAGTAGCCCTTAATAGAACCCTTTCAAAGAGCCCTGTAAAGGAACCAGCCAAAACCCTAAACCCTAAACCCTAAACCCTATTCCCTAAACCCTAAACCCTAAACCCTATTCTAATTATTGAGGCCCCTATACAAGGAGACTGTAGAGCCGATGCCCGGGGCTCCTCTGAGCAATAAGAACGGCTCAGGGTTTGGGGAAAGGATTCGGGTTGGGGGTTAGGGTTTAGGCTTTTGGGTTTGGGGTTTAGGGTTTCGGGTTTAGGCTTTTGGGTTTAGGTTTAGGTTTTTACGGTTTAGGGCTTTGGGCTGGGCTCAGGGTTTAGGGCTTAGAACTTTGGGTTTCGGTTAGGGCTCAGGGCTTAGGGTTTAGGTTAGGGCTTAGGGCTTAAGACCTTTTGAGACAAGGCCCTGGCTGCGTTGAGCCAGGGTCTCCTTGGTTCTTAGTACCGTAGTTTAAGCCTCAAACCCTAAACCCTCAAATCTAAACCTAGGACATAAGCCCTAAGTGCTGAAAGTCTGGAGTCGTAAGCCCCAGAAAATGGCCTCAACCCCTATTTCTAGCGTTTAGGGTTCAGGGTTCAAAGTTTAAAAACCATAAACCTTAGATTCTGTCAGCTATAAAGACAAAACCCTTTTTACTTAAAGACATGCCTGAGCCTTTTCTCGTCAAAGTAGGTAGTATTATTAGGGGTACCCCTTAAAGGGCACCCCTTCTGAACCCTACTTTTGGCTCTCTTAGAAGGGAC